TAAGAAATTAAAATTCTAATTCTATAAGATAATTAAACTTGAAATTCTGAATACTTACATTTTGGATATTTAACTCTATTTTTTTTAGATATTTAACTCTACTGAATTTTATAAGGTTAAAAATGTTATAAATACGAATTATTTAACATTTATTAACAGATAATTTAATTATCTTCGAATTTATTAATGATATCGAGGAGTTTTTCTTAATTTTGTAGTATAGGAAAGTCTTTTATAAGTGAACAAAGAAAAATTACCACCTGAAAAATGGAAAACGACTCGGATCTCTTAAGTAGAAAGTACAGTTATTTCTTATACGTTCGTATTTATACACAATACATTGTATAACTTTCGTTTGTTATAAAATATTACAACAGTTTAAATTATTTGCAATTAGGTGCTAATTTTATACGTACAAGGTGCTCCAAAATTATAGGTCATAACCATCATAGCATGAATTCACACCCTTAGTTTGATCGATATTGACCTAAAGAACTTGCTGCAAAATTAAAGTTAACAAATTAGGGTCTAAAATCTAAGAATTTTGATTAGTTTACATCGTGTTATACTTATCGCAAGAATCAATTTTGTAAAAAGAAACCATGGACCGAAAATAACCCTTTTACTTGAAAAATATAATTTCATATTTATTTTATTTACAAACTTTCTCACTGAGACAGTAAAATACAGTGAAGTGTGACAAGCAGTGACGAAAAATTTATATACTGCTTCACTGTAAATAAAATAGCTATGAAGTTATTTAAACTTCTTGATTATTTATTATCTTCTTGATAAGTAGGATAATAAAATTTTCAAGGCGAAGGTCGAGGTCAATTTCGCGGCGATTACTTCGCGCCGATTCGAAGAATTGCAAAATTGCAGAATCAGATTACGATAATCGTTATACATGTTATTATTTCGAAATACTCGATATAACAACAATTGTTGTACCATTGGTCGACTTGTTGACATTCTTGTATATTAACTAGCAGAAATACCAGTGAAATTAGAAGTGCTTATGCGGCGGCAATGCTTAAGTCAAGATGCTTGACACGCTTCCAGCATTGCAGTGTTCTGTTTTTAAACGCCTTCAAGAATCCTTGGAACTAAATGGAGCTTATTTTCAGCATTCATTAAATTAAATAAGACTGCGATAACTATTAACAACATCTTTCTTTGTTTTGTTTATTCATTTAATTTAAGAAAAAACTTAATAAGTCTAATAATATGATCGATGTAAAGTTAATTATACCCGAAAACAAACCAAAAACTCAGCAGTTGTACAACAACACAGTACACGCTGCACTATCCTATGTGCTCTTGATTAAAACTATTAATTAACATTTTATACGATCATCTTTCGATTCGTTTTTCTAACGTTTCTAACGTTTTTCTACGTTGGTCGCATTAGATTGGTCTGTGTATCTCGTGTTTTTTTATCGTTTTGTATTTTATATAAAATCATGTACTATATTTTCTTTTTATTCAATAAAGTATGTTTATACATATAAAAAGGTTAAAATGTAAATTGCAAAATTTGTTTCGCAACTGAGTTTATCATGGATTTAAAAGTTAGAGCGTTCCCTTCACAATGATCCCCTAAAACTTGGTTTACGATATTTCAGATTACTTTGGGATCTTAACCCTCAAGTAGCTTGGCTGTTTAGACTTACGTAATATATATAAACTTACCTAAGTCTGTACTTGCGTAAGTAAATACACAATAAAATATAATATATTTATAATATATATAATATATTATTTATAATATGTATATAATAGTATATAGTATATTTATAATATAGTATATATATTATAGTATAGTATACTTATAATATACTACTAATTATTATTAATTAAATATTATTATTTATAAAAATATTATTATACTACTAATTATTACTAATATAGTATACTAGTAGTATACTGCTACTACTATAGTACTGTCTCTTATACACATCTAGATGTGTATAAGAGACAGTACTATAGTAGTAGCAGTATACTACTAGTATACTATATTATTAATAATTAGTAGTATATTATAAGTATACTATACTATAACTGTCTCTTATACACATCTAGATGTGTATAAGAGACAGTACTATAGTAGTAGCAGTATACTACTAGTATACTATATTATTAATAATTAGTAGTATATTATAAGTATACTATACTATAACTGTCTCTTATACACATCTAGATGTGTATAAGAGACAGTACTATAGTAGTAGCAGTATACTACTAGTATACTATATTATTAATAATTAGTAGTATATTATAAGTATACTATACTATAACTGTCTCTTATACACATCTAGATGTGTATAAGAGACAGTACTATAGTAGTAGCAGTATACTACTAGTATACTATATTATTAATAATTAGTAGTATATTATAAGTATACTATACTATAACTGTCTCTTATACACATCTAGATGTGTATAAGAGACAGTTATAGTATAGTATACTTATAATATACTACTAATTATTAATAATATAGTATACTAGTAGTATACTGCTACTAGTATAGTATACTACTAGTAATAATATTATATTATAAATATACTATATTAGTAATATATATATAGTATATATATAATATAATATTTATAATATACTACTTTTATTTATTTAATTATATTTATTATTATTATAAATTAGATTTATGAATATAAATATTACGTGTGAAATAGAAATCTATGCCGCAAAATTACTCGAGGATTAAAGTGTGAACTAGATTTCATTGGCGTTCTACGTATTCACATAATTACATGTCATTTTAATGTGCGACTTTTAATCGAGTCCACCTCCTCAACAGTATCCAAACGATACGTGTCGGAAATTCGTCAGGTTATTACACTACAGCAATTAAAGGATCAGTGGAAGATCTTCACAGCATCGAACTAAAATATAAAGGAATCTCACCAAGATTACTAATCCTAGAATATAATCGTTAGTATCGCCATTGCGGGGAGAGTTCGGGGCGTAAACACAGCGAATAATGGTCCCGTCGTGGGCTTGAAGGTGTTAACAACGAGGGGTGGCTCGGTCCCCTCATAATCTCGCGATAGTTTGTTCAAGGGTATCGTTCCGTGAGGAGTCCCGATAGTTCTCGCCGACTATGTCTATAATGCATTGCGTGGCAGTTCGTCGCAGAGATTTCTACCTGAATGCAAAATGCCGATTATATTGTGCTAGGATTTTTTCGTCACTCTTCTGTAATCCTTAACACGATTAAGACTTCTGCTAATCATCTGTTGTATACAAGAGGTGGGCCGAGCATACTCGAAAGGACATTATATATGAAATATTGTTTCAAATTATTTCTAATAATTTATAATTATATTATTTATAATTATTATATAATTTCTATTATTTATAATTCGTAATTATTTCCATATCTGTGGAACACCTTTGAAACACCATTCGTCATATTATTTTACAATTTTTATATTTTCATGGAATGACTTTATTAAATGAAAGCTTTTTAAAGGTTCGTCCCATGATTGACATAAAAAAATGATATAACAATTCGTTACTTGAGATTACTATTATTTCAAGTCTATGCTATTTTTATTTTCAAATAACAGCATTGACGGCAACAGTTCGAGAAATTAATTACAGTGAAAAATGATAACATTCGGACACCTTCTAAAATACAAGAACTTTGTTCAAATTAGATCAAATGATTTCAACATTTTTTTGGATGCCAGACCGGCCAGGTTGCTAAACAATGAGTGCAAAAATGTTCGAAAGAATCACAATTCGTTGGTATGACGAAAGAAAATATAGCTTATGTTTTTTTAAACTTTCCCGTATCGTCGTAACTAACGTTTTGCAGATCTCATTACGTTATACGCATGCTGAAAATTTCATAAAAATCACAAGCTGTGAAGCATATATCATCGAATAACGTAACAATCTCCAGATTTCTTACAGATATTGATCGAAAGTCTTGAAAAACTAGGATATTCGAAATCTTTAATTGTTCGTAGCTAATAACATCGATTAATCGATTTTTATGAAATTTTCAGTATGCATATTTAAACGCATTGTTTCCATTTTCGTTCTGCGATCAGATAAGAAAGTGAAAAAAAAAATAGAACGATATCTTTTTCACTTCAACCAGTCGAATGTTTTGAAAAATTTATTTACTCATTGTCTAGTAAACTAGCCAGTCTAACATTGAAGAAAAATTCAAATCATTCGGTGTCCAACTTTTAAAAAATTCTTGCGTTTTAAACAATCTCTTCGAAAAATATGCCATTATTGTAATTATACTATACAGTGGCCCATAAAAGGGGGTTCTAAACACCTTCATAACCTTGACATAACCTTGACATAACTTTTTTAAAACTGAACTAAGTATACAGAGTGTCCCAAAAATGTCTCGCAATCCGAAAGTGGCGGGTTCCTCAGGTCATTCGAAGCAACTTCTTCCTTTACAAAAATTTTCTCCGAGGCACCGTTAACGAGTTATCAACGAAAAACAGCGACCAATAAGAATCGAGTACGGCCGACGCGAGGCGGCCCAGCCAACCAGCGCGCGAAGCCCAGTTCCGCTCATTGGCTCGGTCGCCTCGCGTCAGCCGAGCTCGCCTCTCATTGGTCACTGTTTTTCGTTAATAACTCGTTAACGGCGCTTCGGAGAAAATTTTTGTAATGGAAGAAGTTGCTCCAAATGATCCGAAGAACCCGCCTATCATCTAAAAGAAATTCAAATTATTGAAATCCAAAAGTTATTGCACTTAAAAGGTGCGAATAATTTGCGTTACGACGAGTACGCTCGTCGAAAGCATCTAACCAGTTAAAAGGTGTCCGAATATCATCGTTACTCACACTATAGTAAAAATTCATCCTTCTCAATCAATTACGCGGTCGTCGTCGCAGCCGGAGATCGTTACGGTTAGATGGTCGGCCGCGTAGTCGGAACGTACGAAAATAAGAAAAAACTGTCGTGCGCGTGAAACTGCATCGTCGTAGGAACGAGGCCTAATACCTTGAAGCCCGCATGTGGCCCGGCGGTGCCGGTCCCGAAGATCGCCGGGATCCCGGAGATGTTGGTGACGCGCGTGCCTGGATTCGACTGGATTCTCGTGCGCGCGTGGTGGCGCTCGCGGAGTGCTCTCGCGCGCAGTCGACGCTGACAGCCGACTGGGGTGGCGATGCTTTCGATAGTGGGGGACATCCTTGCTGACCGAGTGGGGCTGGCGGCTCAGGGGAAAACTGCGAACGCTGGAGCACGCGGGTTGCCGAGAGACAGGGGACGACCCGATGGTAGGGGATAGGGGTAGCTCTGAATCCCTTGAAACTCTGACGATGCTCTCTCTCTCGACTCAGTTCCGAAAGCAGAGCCAGAGCCGAGAGTACACTCGAGGCTTGTTCGTTTCGCGTACCGCGTCGCGTACAGCTTTCCGCTCCGCGCCGTTCCATTCCGCACTGTAGTACCGCAANTTCCTCAGGTCATTCGAAGCAACTTCTTCCTTTACAAAAATTTTCTCCGAGGCACCGTTAACGAGTTATCAACGAAAAACAGCGACCAATAAGAATCGAGTACGGCCGACGCGAGGCGGCCCAGCCAACCAGCGCGCGAAGCCCAGTTCCGCTCATTGGCTCGGTCGCCTCGCGTCAGCCGAGCTCGCCTCTCATTGGTCACTGTTTTTCGTTAATAACTCGTTAACGGCGCTTCGGAGAAAATTTTTGTAATGGAAGAAGTTGCTCCAAATGATCCGAAGAACCCGCCTATCATCTAAAAGAAATTCAAATTATTGAAATCCAAAAGTTATTGCACTTAAAAGGTGCGAATAATTTGCGTTACGACGAGTACGCTCGTCGAAAGCATCTAACCAGTTAAAAGGTGTCCGAATATCATCGTTACTCACACTATAGTAAAAATTCATCCTTCTCAATCAATTACGCGGTCGTCGTCGCAGCCGGAGATCGTTACGGTTAGATGGTCGGCCGCGTAGTCGGAACGTACGAAAATAAGAAAAAACTGTCGTGCGCGTGAAACTGCATCGTCGTAGGAACGAGGCCTAATACCTTGAAGCCCGCATGTGGCCCGGCGGTGCCGGTCCCGAAGATCGCCGGGATCCCGGAGATGTTGGTGACGCGCGTGCCTGGATTCGACTGGATTCTCGTGCGCGCGTGGTGGCGCTCGCGGAGTGCTCTCGCGCGCAGTCGACGCTGACAGCCGACTGGGGTGGCGATGCTTTCGATAGTGGGGGACATCCTTGCTGACCGAGTGGGGCTGGCGGCTCAGGGGAAAACTGCGAACGCTGGAGCACGCGGGTTGCCGAGAGACAGGGGACGACCCGATGGTAGGGGATAGGGGTAGCTCTGAATCCCTTGAAACTCTGACGATGCTCTCTCTCTCGACTCAGTTCCGAAAGCAGAGCCAGAGCCGAGAGTACACTCGAGGCTTGTTCGTTTCGCGTACCGCGTCGCGTACAGCTTTCCGCTCCGCGCCGTTCCATTCCGCACTGTAGTACCGCAACTGCTCTGTTTTCGATCGTGGCCGTCGCGTTTTTCAGCCCGTGCCGTGACTGCTGTTCGCGTTCGGCCGTCGAAATCGCGGCGACGGTGTCCGGTGTACGATTCCCGGTGGTGACGTTCGACCCGTAGGTGACCCGCGTGTTCCTCTGGACCGCCGTCATCGCGACACCTCGAGACGCACGGACAACAGCTGTCCCACGTCTTGGTACGTCGCCAACGATTTTCCGCCACTCGTCAGCCGATAAATCGTCCACGTCAGCCGAGGATGAACGTTTTCGAGATACGTTGCTCTCGGATCGTTTGACGAGCGAGAAGGGATGGAAACGGGGACGAGTGCGTCGACGACGCACCCGAAAGCAGCCAGAAAACGCCGCAGCTGAATCGGCTCGCGCGAACACAGACGTCTTTCTCGCGGCCGGCGGAGTCTCCGCTCTTCTGCTCTTCTCTCTTTTTTGTCTTCCCGCTGGACATTTTCAGGAATTCTTCGTAACATGCGGATTGCGTGTCGTGCTCGCGCCGTGTGTCGCGATGCGACGCGACGAGACGCGTTCGGCCGGTGACAACACGAGAGAGAGAGAGAGAGAGCTCGTCGATCAACATCGCCGAGCACGTGTGTGTCTGTGCGTCTGTCTGTGTGCGCGCGTGGCCGCGCGACGATATTCGAGCACACTCGAAACCGTCAAAGTCACGCTGGGCCCTTTCGGCGGCCCACGCTTTTGTTCGGAGCGCACGCGGCGGATATAGCGCGCGAGAGTCTCGCGAACGGGCATCTGGCATTTAAATCGAGATGATCATCGTGCGGCACCTTTGTCGCCGAGCGGACCCGTTTCATTTTAATATCTATCCGCGCGTCACACGCCACGTGCCTCGCGAACCTGTGTGCGCACTCCACCGTGTTTTTCTGTCGTTCCGCCTGTCCCTACCGCTGTTTACTTCATCTTCGTTTCAAAAAAGAAAAAAAAGAAAAGTAAAATAGCCAAACCAACAACGAGAAGCTCGGCTCTGCCCCGGGAAAAACGTGTTCCCGGGCGCTGTGTTTTTCCCCTGGCGCGTTTTTCCACCGAATCTCGTGTCTCCGCGAAGTGGCGAAGCGAACGTCTGCTGTTGACACGGGCAACGACGGTTTCCGAAGCCGGAGCTTTTTTTTTTTTAAACGCGAGTTAATGGACCGCTTCTCTCTCTCTCTCACTCTTTCTCTCTTATACGCACACAGAGAAATCGAACAATCCGACGCAGAGACACGAAACACGGGTGTACACACACCGTTTAAGACAAAGCGGCCGTTCGATGCATATGCACCGGGGGAGGAGGGGTGGGGGATTTAGTGTGCCGACTCGCAGATCCAATGATTAGAAGGCGGGAATAAACCGATTCGAAGATATACGGTTTCCGTGAACGCGGACCGCGCGATCTACTTTCCGTTGGCACCCGCGAAAACACTGTGCACCGCCTCGCGGCGCGACCGATACACAAATCTTGCGACAGTCTGCGGGAGCCGTTTTTATTTCACGCGTCGAAACCACCCCGACCGACTAATCCCGGCCGCGATTTATGAAGTCCGCGCGTGTTAGCCCCCGATAAACGCGATTCCCACGGAACGACACGGCGTGTGTAACGAGTTCCCCCGTTGCTTCGTATTTCACTGACACACCGTGCACCGGACTTTCATTTGATCGCGCGTACGCCGCCGTTGCCCGTGACGATTCGCCCGGACATTTTTAATTAACAACGATCCTTGGAACGTGCCCGAAACAACAAGCGACGCGGGGACGCTCGCGATTCGCAAACACGATGCTCGCGATCCAGTGATCGTCCCGATCGATTTAAAGGGCCATACGTTTCTGCGAAACGCGGGGATGATTTATGCCGCGTCCTAAATACGTGATTTGCACGAACCAACCCCGATCGCGCTGGGCCGGCCGGTTCTCGCTCGACGACGAACGTGAAATTCCGCTGGAAAATTACGACGAACCGTGCTCCGTTTCGATTACGGGCAAATCGTTCCTTTCTCGAAGCAGAACGTTGATCGACCCGCGGTTCATTATAGGCTCTCCGCGAATGGATATCATTCCCCGCAACAATACGTGTCGATCCTCTGCGATTATCTCGATCCGCTCGGGGGCGATCGGCCTTCCAGGCTCCACTGGACGATCACCGATTTTCGGCGAAGTATCCGACGCACGTTCGAGACTTCCGACGAGCCGCGAACGCGTAAATTTGGAGATCGAACGGACCGGACCCTGGGCGCGGGTTTCGCTCCGATTCAAGTTACATCGCCTTACAAGCGGCGAAGTTGAACGCGCCCGCTCGGCCCATGTTCCGCCTGCGGAGATTCAACCGGTCTTCTAAACTCCGATAATTGGCCCGGGCTGTATGCATTCGGTGGAATCGCATTAGCGGCCTCGGTTGCTCGCACGGAGAGATCCGCGCGTACAAAGAAAACCGAACCCGATCCGCTTTTCCATCGTCGGCTCTGCTCCGGGTGTATAGAATTCTAATCGCTGGAAAAGGGGACCAGGAGGGGGAGAGGGGGTGCGCTCTGTAAAGTTTGACGATCCTCTAACGAGGAACTCCGGTTTCACCGGCGGATCGGTGTAAAGTATCTTTACGGGATTTGCAGAATGGTGAAACGATGAGAGAGGAGCCGCCGGTGCCGAGGGTGAATCGGCAACGTTCCAGGGTAAACTCGATGATGAATCTTCGATGAATAGGATCCGGCCGGGTGTAGTGACGTATCGCGCGGAAGTTCGGATCGATTCGCGGCAAGATAGAAGGGGCCACGAGGAGCTGCTACGATGCGCGTGAAAAGTTGACGAAGCCATGTGACACGTGTAAACTGAAATCCCGTGCGACGCCCGTTCCGCTGATGCTGGGACTGGACAACGACGTGGTCGGCATACGAATGGACCCCGTGCCACGGATGACAGCCGGCTGTTTTGCCAAGTGACAGTGCGAGTAGTTTTACGGGCGGCGGCGAGAAAAAAAAGAAGAAGAACGACAGGATCGTGATATCGAGCCGCCGGTGATACGCGGCCGGGGATTACTGTGAAAATTGTAGTAAATCAGTAGTGATGCCGTGATGGGCTGCAGTTCGGGTCCGTGCTATCTGGCTACGCTCCTAGCGGGTGGATTACTCTTGGTCGTCTTGTGCAGCGAGACATCCCAAGCGACACGTGAGTACACTATGTAAAGCGATATTAATATTGGTAGTGATAACACGCGGATCAAAGTGATTAGACGATCGGGATTTCGGATCGTCGGGTAATCAAAGTTACGGTTATCAATCGGATCTCGGCGGAGGTATACAAATACGATTCTACGTTCAAGTGAAAAGCTTGTTCCGATAACAGCGAATCGAACTCTTGGGTGCGAGAAGGCCGAGTGACAAGATTGAGTATCGGGGAAAAGAGTTTCCGAACATTATGAAAACAACAATTTCTTATACGCAGTGGAGAATATCTTAAAACTCTTTTTAAGATATTTAATTTCTTTAATTTTTTAACTTCAATTTTTCTTCTTTTTATTTGATTAGATTAACATGAATTACGTAATAAATGAATGAAATTTTATTATTGATTATAATAACCTCAGGCTCTCCTTGTGTTAACATTGTTCTTTATCGTTTATGATTTTTATGTAATATCTGAGAATACGTACACGTTTAATATTCGAAAGCTTGTAATTTTTTAACATGGAAACGAAAAACTGGTTATTCTCTTTATTTATTATTATTTTTATTTTATTATTAGTTATTCTCTTTATTTATTATTCATTTATTCTAAAGCCGGTTATTCTCTTCCGATCTATTCGGCTTCATCCGTAATATCTTCAATGTCACTTGGTTCATCCTCAAAACGGAATCAAACTCTGCAGATTCTGTATCTTCTGATAAATTGTTCTTCGAACTAATTTACTTCTTCGCTCGCGAAACTCATACTTTGAACGTCTTGTAGTTTTTCTGATATTTGTGATTTGTTTTCGTGCGATTGGAATTCGCATTGCGAAATTAGCTGGAAATGCGTTGCACTGTGAAAAGAATGAAAATTGTTCATAGCTTGTACCATAGTACGAACTAGGAAGAATACTGCCGCAACGTTGAATATTTAATACCGCAGTATTTTTTTGATCGTGAAGCGCTTGCTCTTTGCCGCAGGTTTCTTTCGATAAAAAAAGTTGATCTACTCCATTTTGTTATTTTATTTGATCATAGTCTGATCATAGTGGCAACTTTGTAACAGCTTTTCAGTTCTTCTTTAAATATAATTTAAAGATTTTATTCGAAGAATGCGAAGTCTCTTTTTACAGATATTTGAAAAAGTTGAAGCAATAATTTTCGACGAATAGACCCGTCACATGTGACAATATAACCCTGGACTTAATCTCTTTTGACACCCATGCGTCCTGATAAATGGAGGTCCTGAAGAGATTTGCTTCGCTGCTCATAAAGATTAACACACAATTCTTTCCGGCATGCAGAATGGATATTAGTGTAACACTCTCTGGGACATGTAACGACTGGATTATAAATCTTATTTGCAATTTGTTCACTCGAATTTTCATATGACATCGCTTGAATTCTCTGTCTTTCACTGTAATTGTGTGTCCAAGTCATCCTCTTGACGAAGTTTTCTTCGACCAGGTTTTGTAGATCTTTGCGGATCACTGTCACAGTCTGAAGCTCCGTTTCTCCGATTTTTAGCCAAATTTTCGTTCACAATGCACGAAAAAGATACCAGAAGATGCTCGCTTGTCCAAACAGATTATCTGTTACCAAAGACCAGTGTTTGTCGAAACATACATTATTAAGTCTTCTAGCAATTTAAAAGTGCGCGAGTCTGGTAATAGCATTGCACGATGGTCGTAGTTTCATGTTCGAAGACCGCACTCTTGTCTCTGCGTTTCGTTCGTCTTCGAAGTTTCCCTGGGAACAGATGATAAAGCCAAGTATTTTCGTTGTAGAACCGCATCTGTAATAGATCTCACGGCAGAGAGACGGCTATCTTATTGTTATAAAAACTGTGCGCACGATTTTCGTGCTTTCATTCTAAATATTGTCCCGCGACACACTGGAAACATTTGAGAAACTCTATTTTCTGAGCAAGCAACCTTCTCGAAATTTCAATTCCCTTCGAATCGGCACAGTCAATTATCCGCGAACGGAATTTCATCCGATCGTCGCGGACAAAACGCGGTCGCATAATAATTGCAGACGCTTAGCGCTCTGCCGGAAATAGCAGAAATTCCGTCGAACTTGCCTAATCGAGTGACTTTCGTTCGACTGTTTCCTAGAACGTGTTTAATTGCTTCCGGAATACCGTTTGACTCCTTTGGTCGATTTTCGAATGCGTTCTGCCGCGATAAAACCGCTGCTTTCCTTCTATATATCGCACACTTTTAACAGTGTATATTGCTTTCTCGACTTTTGCGAAACGAAACGCTGCACAAGCGTTTTCGATGCTTCTAGCTTGGTGTGCATATATATATGGTACAGAATTTTGTAAAGATATATTCTTTCTTAACCCGAGAAAGATAACCTACGTCGCAGAGGCGCCTGCGAAGACTGTTGATTTTTGTTAATTTTTCATAGAGGTCTAGTGATTTAAGTTTAAAATTACTTGAAATATAAAAAAATATAATATAAATGCATTTTATTTTTACAATAATGCCAAACCTTTAAAATGACTAGATTAACTTAAATAAATATCCATTGTTAGTATAAAATTGACGCCTTAGAAAAGCATGCGCCTCTGAAGCGTATGGTTATCTTTTACGTACGTTGTCATATGGTTATCTTTCTAGGGTTAATCGAAGAGTGGAAAAAGCTGTCCTCCGAAGAAGGTAATAGAGCAGAACGGTTCATATATAACTCAATAGATCAACTATAAACAATAAGTATCGTGTAATCATTTCGCATCAGAAAAAAGGAAAGTACTTATGGGACACCCTAATATCTCTCCCAAGTTGTGAAACGCGCCATGGTACAACAGTAAATTCAGAAAGGATCTCTGAACATTGACAATAAAGAAGAAAATAAAATGCCTTAGACTTTAAATACCTTACAATAAAAACAGATTTCAATACCTTGCTAACCGAAACAAGGGAGGAAGATATCAGTTGTTGGACAAAATGTATCTATAATCACTGACCATCGTATCTGCATGTTAAAAGATTTGTTTATTCTACCAGCAAACAGATGACAAATAAACGAGGATACTAATACAAAAAGAAAAAAGTGTTGCGGGGGATTTCGAGTCAACATTTTTTCAACTACAATTTTGCTGTACGTTACAATTGTTCTAAACGAATTGGTAAAGTAACACATCGACCCTTACTTTAACGTAGGATGTCAGTGAACATTTGCACAAATTCCCCTACGATTTAAAGACATTTTCGTTTCACGCCTCCAATTCGGCCAATTACGTTTTATTCGTAAAAATGATCCTATAAGTGAAGAACATACAGAGAAATAAGATACAATATCGAAAATTGAGCAGCGTCTTGCTTCGATTTCAGCTCTTAGTCGACGAAAAAGATCTTTTTCTGTCATACTCTTTTTTACTACTATTAGTACTTTACTGCTTTTACTACTTTTACTATTATTATTACTACTATTATACTATTAGTCATGCTAAAAATTCAATCTGCATAAAGATACCTAGAAAAAGTAGGTTTATATAACGTGATACAAATTATAGTCCGAATCTATAACTTTGTAGGTAGTTTCTAAAAAATACTAAGATTGCTTTTACCCGTTTAGTCGTGTGTAAATGAACGATGAAAACTCATAAGTTGACGTTTGGCTGGCTTAATATGACGCACGGCTTCCTAATTAAAAGAAAAAACAACAACTAGTACAATGTCATGGAATTCAGTGATCGTAGCGGAAAGCTGTAATTTGGAGATAACATTCGCGTCGCCTATAATTTTGATCCTTATCGGCTAATGGCGATCGCCGCAGCTTTATAGTTTAACGCTGGTGTAGATGTAATTATTTGATAATTTTCACTACGGGAATATCGATATGCATCCGCAAAGATGAAATTTAACAGAAGACTAATTTGGGTTGTTGCATTCTCGAAGCCGTCGCGATGTCTACCGACATCGACATCTAATCATCCACCAACTGGATCTGGACTTTTGATCGGTATCGTATACTAATCTTTGCTCTTATACTAATCGCAGACGGCTCGCGCACCTTTGCTCGATGAGCATGCCATTACGCGTGCACGCTCGCAGAAATTGAATAGAAACGTCAGGATTTATCGCGCCGTTGCCTGCTAAAAGTCGACCCAATTTTCGCTCTCGCCAAACGCCGAAACTTCCCGCAAAGATGAAATTTAACAGAGGACTAATTTGGGTTGTTGCATTCACGAAGCCGTCGCGATGTCTACCGACATCGACATCTAATCATCCACCAACTGGATCTGGACTTTTGATCGGTATCGTATACTAATCTTTGCTCTTATACTAATCGCAGACGGCTCGCGCACCTTTGCTCGATGAGCATGCCATTACGCGTGCACGCTCGCAGAAATTGAATAGAAACGTCAGGATTTATCGCGCCGTTGCCCGCTAAAAGTCGACCCAATTTTCGGGTCTCTCGCCAAACGCCGAAACTTCCCGCTGTATATATCGTATCGTTTTCGCTGGATCTCGCGTGCGGAGATAAACGCGAATCGTTAAGAGGCATATCGCGCACACAGGTTTAGACGGGAGAAAGTAGGCCGCTAAAAAAGAAAGTGGCAATGCGTATCGCGGCGGTCGGATGGACGAGGACGCGCGAACAGGCCGCGAAAGAATAAGGTAGGTCGAGAAAGAGATGGACGTAACGTGGCACCGAGGAAACGAAACGAAACGAAACGTGATGAAATGGCCTGTTTAGCCGGGATATACGCGACGCATCGTGAAAAGGCAGGAACGATACAACGGAATATAAACCCCTTCCCTTGTGTCGCCGCGCCGTATCCAGTCGGCGGCGCACGGGTGCTGGATGGACCAGTCGAGGGTGGAAGCAGGGGAGGGCGAGAGGAGGCGGCGGTGAGGGTGGCAAAGAGGGCGTGAACGGTGCGGTGGTTTGGCTCAAAGGACGTTGAAGCCAGAATGGGACGCGGACGTTGTCACGATGGGTGTGAGATGGCTGATATTCCCCTGTTTTTCCTTCCTCCGGTTCCTT